GGAAACAGAGCCTCAGAACACCAGATCCTCTGGATACAGAACCTCAGGAAATGCACCTCAGAATGTCAGGAAACAAAACCTCTGGATACAGAAATTCAGAACCTCAGGAAACAGAACCCCAGAACACAGAAACTCTGGATACAGAACCTCAGGAAACAGAACACAGGACCTCTGAATAAATAACCTAAGAACCTCTGGATACAGAACCCCAGAACCTCAGGAAACATAATCTCAAAACACCAGAACCTCTGGATACAGAACCTCAGGAAACAGAACCTCAAAACCTCTGGATAAGGAAAATTATAACCTCAGGAAACAGAACCTCAGAACACCAGAACATCTCGATACAGAACTTCAGAACCTCAGGAAACAGAACCTCTGGATAAGGAAGACCAGAGCTTTGGGATACAGAACCTTAGAACCTCAGAAAACAGAGCTTTAGAACCCCAAGACCTCAGGAAACAGAACCTCAGAAAACAGAACCTCAGAACACCAGAACATCTGGATACAGAACTTCAGAACCTCAGGATAAGGAAGATCAGAGCTTTGGGATACAGAACCTTAGAACTTCAGGAAACAAAGCTTTAGAACCTCAGGACTCCAGGAAACAGAACCTCAGATAACAGAACCGCAGAAAACAGAACCTCAGAACAGACGGTTTTGCAAAGACGAATCTGCTGAAGCCAAAGTTTGTGTTTCTGAAGATATTTTACTGACACATCATGGAGCTCTAAATGTTTCAGTGATTTTCTGTCTGGACTTTCAGAACCAGCCCTGAACATTCTGGTGGACTAAACCCATTTAGAACCATTATCAGAACACAGAGGCCTGGAGAACGGTTCTGTATAGATGGACGAGGGTCTGCAGGAGAACCCAAAGATCTTTGACTCTGAAGGAGTTTTTATTAAAACCGTTCAACTGCGGAACCAAAAGAACCACCTGTTCAGAAGTTCTGTTCAGACCAGCACTGGAGGGTCCTGTTTCCCGTTGGTCTCAGACTGATGGAACCACCAGAGAATAATCCAAAGACCTAAGTTTCTAAAGTTCTGGTAACGAGGCTCTAAATGTCCAGAACCTTCTGCTTGTTGGAGACGGTGTCGACTCCAAACCCAGATCAAAACCTGGCCCGTTGGACCAGCAAGCTGCAGGTTCATACGATAGGACCAGGGCCAGGACCTAATCCAGGATCGGACCAAGACTAGATCCAGGACCTAGTCTAGGACAAATCCAAGATCAGGGTCAGGACAAGGCCAGGACCTAATCCAGGATCGGGCCAAGACTAAGCCAAGGATAAGGACCAGGACAAGGACCAGAACCAGTGCCAGGATCAGGGCCAAAGCCAGGCCCAAAACCAGAACCAGGACGTAGTCTAGAATCAGTCTAAGAGGTTCAGGACCATGACTTGGACCAGCTAGGACCAGGACAGGACATGGACTAAGACGAGGACCAGTACCAGGCCCAGAGCTGGTTAAGTCCTCCAACTGGTCCACACTCAGCAGCAGCGCGCACGCCGTGGGGGCGGTACCTGGAAGAGGCGCAGGATGTTGGCCACCATGATGGACACGGAGCTCGCGGACGCTCCGACCACGCCCACCACCTTCTCCGGCCTCACGAACACGGGCGGCTCCCCGCTCGTGCACCTGACGTCAGACGTGTCCTTCTGGATCAGAGCCTGCACGAAGGTCAGCGACTGCTCCAGCGCGTGCGTGTCCCGCGAGCAGGTGTCCAGGATGCGCGCGCCCAGCGTGACGTTGGGCAGCAGGTCCTCGTCCCCGTTGATCTGGTCCAGCGCGTACATCATGGCCTCCAGGCGGTGGATCCCGTTCTCCTTCTTCACGTCCCCGCACGGGGTCCCCGGGACGCCCCGCGCGTGCACCGGGAACAGCCCCCCCCAGCGTCACGTCCCCCTCCACCCGGATGGAGTGCGGCGCGTAAATCTCCTGGGAGCGAACAGAGTCCAGCAAGACCCGAATCCACAGGAGCCGGAGCGCGGAGCCGGACCTGAGCATGACTGGATCCGGATCCCCCACGACCACTTTCAGCAGAGTTACAGAATCCCCAGAGGCGAGCCCAGAACTGGGTTCAGAACCGAGCTCAGGTCCAGCTTCATTCCTGTTGGGACATGTTGGTGAGAAATCCCGCAGAGACTCGCAGAGCGAGACCCGCAGAGACCCGCATCAGCAGCGCCCTAATCCCGCACAGTGCGCGCTGCAGCTTGTTGCTTCAGCATCATTCCGGGGTCCAGCCGAACCACAGCCGGAACCAGAACTGCTTTAACTCCTGCAGGTGGTCCCGGGTCTCCGTCCGTGAGAGAAACCAGGCCAGTTGGGGTCCAGGTCCAAGTTCGGGTCCAGGTCTGATGTCAGGATCCAGACCATGCAGTGAGGATGAGGAGGAGGAAGACGGGATGTCACGCGCCTTTAGTTTCCACAAATCCAGAAAGCAGGACCAGAGGAACCTGGACCAGAGGAACCAGGACCAGAGGAACCAGGATCAGAGGAACCAGGACCACAGGAATCTGGACCAGAGGGATCTGGACCAGAACCGCAGAGCTGGAGCTCCGCACGCCGCGCACTGACATCAAATAACTGCTCTCTGCTCACAGCCGAGCCGTGCGCGTGTCTGAATGCGTGTGAGTCAGGCTCCTCCCCCGTCTTCCCAACCTGTCTCCCGCGCGCGCACCGCGTGCTCATAAACCGGACGTGTTCAGTCCAGGAGTCCGAACCCGAGCACCTGCATGAAGACGGAGTTCTCACGAGCCGGAGCAGCCCTGCGCGCGCATTCTCTCTAGCTCTCTCTCGCGCTAACACACGCGCACGTGCAGAGACGCGCACACACCACCTACGCGCGTATGTGAATTTGACAGACTCCAGTTTCCAAAACAAGAGGAGAGAGCAGGAAAACAGGAAGTTAATGACACGAAATTATGAAATTAAATAAATTTGATTTGAATAATTAAATAATTTTAATAAATAATTTAAAACAATTAATTATATTAAATTAATGAGATGAAAGGCGGGGGCTCTTTCAGGTTGCATTTTGATCAATAGGAAAATAAAGTAAGACATTGAATTATATGACGATCTCACGTGCACGTGCACTTTAAGAGGCTGTCAGCCGGAAGACCAGGACCAGGACTTCTGCACAGAACCTGGTGTCAAACAGCAGTTTCTGATCAAACCAGAACCTGATCCATCAAACGTGAAACAGCCCTGTTCCTGTTGCAGGACCACCAGTTCAGGACTTGCTCTCTGGACTGGCCTGAGACCCGTTCAGATGTGAGGACCTGGTGTCCTGACTGTCTGCAGTCTGTCTCTAGAACCTGGTTCATGTTTGGACTGTTTTTGTCCTGTTGAGCTAATTGTCAAAAATAATAGCTTCATCCAAACCATCCACATGTCTGAGAGATCCCATCCCATCCAGATTGTTTAAAGACATATTTCCCTTAATTAATAATCACATCTTGGATCTGTTTAATTTGTCTCTAATAAACGGTTACGTACCACGGAGCTTTAAGGTTGCTGTAAATAAACCTTTACTTAAGAAACATAACTTTGACTCGGGAATCCAATTATAGATCTATATCTAATCTAACATTCATCAAAAAAAATTATTGATAAAATAGCTGCAGGTCATTTCCGTGAACATCTGAACAGAAATAATCTGTTTGGGAAGTACTTACCACTTTACTTGTGGTTCCTATAGTTTCTAAAAGCAGAATGGGAGGAAGATCTTTCAGTTCTCAGGCTCCTCTCTTGTGGAACCAACTTCCAGTTTCTGTCCGTGAGGCTGACACATTGTTTACTTTTAAAATTAGGCTTAAGACTTTCCTTTTTTGATAAATCCTTAGGGTCGGCTTGGGTTTCCTGAGCTATCCCCTAGTTATGTTGCTATAGGCTTAGACTGCTGCAGGACAAATTGACCTCCTCTCTCTGCTGCTGTCTTTACTGTCTCTACTCTACCTGTTTGTATTTGTAATTATTTCTGTCTTAACATGTTTTTTTGTTTTTCCTGCTATAGAAAGGTTTTAGTTTTTGGATTTGAGTGTCTTAGGAATTAATTTTTCAGTCTTTCGCCCTCCTTGGATGCATTAATCTGGCCTCCAGCTCTAATGTTAAAAATCTTGGTGTTATTTTTGATCAGGAAGTGTCTTTTAAGCTCACACTAAAAATGTTACTAGAACCACCTTCTTCCACCTGCGTAATGTCACGAAAATTGAAAAAACTAAAAGTGATGCAGAAAAACTGGTTCATGCATTTGTCACGTCTAGACTAGACTACTGCAATGGGCTCCCTGTCAAATCCAGAAATGAATTCAAAATCTTACTTCTAACCTACAAAGCCCTCAACAACCTGGCTCCATCTTATATTACAGATCTTATTGTTCCATATTTTCTTAACAGAGCACTTCACACTCAGATTTCAGGTTTACTTGCGGTCCCTAGAGTTTCTAAAAGCAGAATGGAGGAAGCTTATCAGGCTCCTCTGTCCATGAGGCTGACACATTGTCCAGTTTTAAGACTGGGATTAAGACTTTCCTTTTTGATAAATCCTATAGTTAGGGTTGGCTTGTTATGCTGCTATAGGCTTCGACTACTGGAGGACAAATTGACCTAATTTCCTTAAATGAATTGTTAAAATTGAATAGTTTTCATTTTATACTATTTCTATCTTAACATGTGATTCTTGACCTGCCATTGTGTATCTGTTCCTACCAAACCCAGCCGGTCGAAGCAGATGGCCGCTTGTCCTGAGCCTGGTTCTGCTGAAGGTTTCTTCCTGTTAAAGGGAGTTTTCCTTTCCACTGTCTCCTTTATGCTCGCTCAGGATGGGAGACTGTGTCAAAGTGAAGATTCAACACAATCTGCTGCTTCCTCAGAGAGAGAACTTTTACTAATTGTCTTTTATAAAGTCTGTGAATGTTTCTGTTCAGTGTCCTGAGACAACTTCTGTTGGGACTTGGAGCTACAGAAATAAACCGAAGTGAAACACGGAGGAACAGAACACGACAGGCTGTGGGAAGACAGTCCACAAACAAAGACGCTGAACTTAAGGGACACTAACGAGACCCAATGACCATCAACACCTGGGGAAAGACAATGAGGAACAGGTGAGAGTGGCAGGAGCTGGGGCTGAGCACATGAGGAAACACTAGGAAGGCTGAAGAGATGACAAATAAAACAACTAAAACACAAGGATCTCAACATCTAAACACAAAACACTCATAAAACACAGATTCCCACAACTCAAAACTCCCACGTCCCATTAGGAAAAGATGATTCAGCTAAAGTGGATCAAAGAGCTGCAGATCGACGTGATGTTGATTAACGGTTGACCCAACAAGAACCAGACCAGGTGATGGATCGGTTGGATGAAAAGGAAGAGGAGACACGGTGAGTACCGAGTTGAGAGTAATCTTTCATGTATGAGGTCAGAAGAATGTCTTACTGAAAAGTCTTTTCTTATAGATGGGATCTGAGGAGGGGGTTGAGAGGTTCTGGTTCCTGGAGGGTTCTCGAGTTGCGCTGGAGAGAGGATCAGGTTTAGTAAGTAGCTGGTTCTTCAGGCTGAGGACGTAGGAACACCGTAGGAACAATATCTTGGACGAGTGGAAAACACAAGGAGCGAGGAGGCCTAAGGAGACTAGATGAGCCCAGGACTTGGGAGTCACTGCAGAGATTCACAGTCTTTAGTAACAAAGAGTCAGGAAACAGTTGGGAGGCTGTCCATTACCAGACAATGTCCCTGCACTGAGGCTTTTATGCTCCTCCAGAGTCTTCCCTCTAATCAGGTTCAGGTGTGGACAGGTGGTTGAGTAGATGTTGCTGCAGCCGTGGGAGAGAGAGTGTGGCTGGCAGAGACCAGAACTCCCACACAGATGTCTCAGCAGCGGGGACATTCTCCTGTCTTTATTTGCCTTGTTATTGTAGAATCTGTCTCTGTGTCTTCATTTTGTCCTGCCTCTGAGTGTAGACATTTATTTTTGCTGCGATTGTTTCTGATGTTCCACCACGGGTTCAAAGATCCTTTGCAGAAACTACCTGATCCAACACTCTGCATGTTCTCATTTTGTTCCATGCACTTTGCATCACAAAGACTTCTGAGGACCTGAAAGAGAACAAGGACATGTCACTTTCCGGTTTGCATGAAAGAGAAAGTATCAAATAAGTTTTACTCCTTGAAGGACTCTGAACATCCTGTAGGAACACCCTGATGAAGACCCTGAATGTCCTGTAGGAACACCCTGATGAAGACCCTGAACGTCCCATAGGAACACCCTGATGAAGACCCTGAACGTCCCGTAGGAACACCCTG